TATATTTCAGCGAAGTCTCGTTAAATTGCGAAGGTTACGCAAAACCATCTCTGTGTTACTCCGCGTTTCCGATATGCCGCGACCCTGACAGTATTCTCAAGCTGAAAAACTCGAAAAGTTTGTTTCACCTTCTAAATAACAACCAAGGCGGTTTATCCAAGGACGTCGGCGACGGAGATGAAGCGGATGACATCGAGCGATCGCATGGTATCCCGCGAAAACGGAGCCCAACGTTAGGACCTGGTTCCGATCCGTACAAGGACGGAAAATCCACGAAAAAACTCCTTAGTCAAAGCTACGGGGACGTGCAGTCCTCTACCCGAAACGAGATTAATCGTAAACTACGAAGGATTTGTCGAGAGGAGTGCGAAATGTTAGAGAACGATCTATGTAGAAAAGAATATGCAATCGCTAAAAGACATCCACTGATTGGACATGAAGTGCCTTTAATTAATTGTCGTGACTTACCAATGGAAAACACTCCTGAGGCTCGTGATTGTTTAAGTCTCGGAATTTCCACGGAAAACAACGTCCAGGAAAGTGAGTATCAATATACATACATTATCGATATCGTGATATCTATAGCGAGTATTGTTAATATCCTAATTATCCGGGTTACCTGCAGACGATTATTGTTATTGGGGAAGCGGAAAGTCATATCGGGGTATCGTGAAGACGAGTATCAGCGGAAGACCGTGTTTGCAATGGGTGGCTGACTTCAATCTTCCGATCTCTGATTATCCCGAATTGGCTGGCCAACATTCGTATTGTCGCAATCCGGGTAATTCCGAGTCGCAACCGTGGTGTTACGTTGACGTCAACCATATGATGCAGAAGGAATTTTGTGATATACCTAAATGCGTTGAAAACTTATGGATCTATGCAGTCGTTGGTTTTGTGCTAACAGGAGGATTTGTTGTCATATTGATTTGTTATTGCTGCTGCTATAGAAGCAGAAAGTCTACGAGGCAAATGAATCATTTACCATCGAACAAAGTAAGGTTCAACTCGAATCACCCCTTTACGCTTGGAACAACACCTGACTTCTTATTTCGCAGATGTTGACGGGTATACAGTGCGACAAGAATATATACGATGGAAGACGAAACACGACACAGCCTATGGAAATGAGTTCTCTTTTAACTGGCCCTGGTAACACAACCCCCGGAACCGGAACGTTGAGCAGCGGAAGCAGTAGAACGTCCAATAACAGAGTGCCACAATTCACCACTAATAACGTCGTGCTTCTACAAGAACTCGGCGAAGGAGCTTTCGGTAAACATTGGATTTTCCACTCGATCGCTGGTGTATAAAATAAACAATTTCTTATACGCCCTCTAGGAAAAGTGTACAAAGGCGAGTTACAGACTGGCAATAAATGCGAGCCACCGATTTACGTAGCGGTGAAGACATTAAAAGAGAACGCGAGTCCAAAAACTCAGAGCGACTTCAAACGAGAAGTGGATCTCATGACGGATCTCAGGCATCCAAACATTATTTGCTTACTCGGCGTGATATTGAAAGGGGAGCCTATGTGCATGTTATTCGAGTACATGACCCAAGGGGATCTGCACGAATTTCTCATTTGCCACTCGCCAAGGTCCGATGTTCCGTTAAACAATGGAACTGGCAAGATTTTAGAGCAACCAGAATTTCTGCACATCGCTTTACAGATCGCGTCCGGTTAGTTCACGCTCTACAACGAATTTACTATTTACTATCTGTTTGTATAAAATTCTAGAGCTTACTGTTTCTTCAGGCATGGAATATCTAGCGAACCACCATTACGTCCACCGAGACTTAGCCGCGAGGAATTGCTTAGTCGGAGACAATTTAACGGTAAAAATCTCCGATTTCGGGTTATCGAGAGACATATACAGTAGCGACTACTACAGAGTCCAATCTAAGAGTCTATTACCTGTTCGATGGATGCCTCCAGAGTCAATTGTTTACGGGAAATTTACGACGGAGTCGGATGTATGGAGTTTCGGTGTTGTGTTATGGGAAATTTATAGTTATGGCTTACAGGTAATGAAACGCATCTTCGTATTAACTACCTTACTTTGCAAACTCTCGATATCTTATTTATATATCGTATTTAACTTGCAGCCATATTACGGTTACAATAATCAAGAAGTAATAGACATGATTCGGTCGCGTCAGTTGCTACCTTGTCCCGAAGACTGTCCCACCATGATCTACAGCCTGATGATAGAGTGCTGGCACGAGGTCGCGAATCGCAGACCACAGTTTCCAGAGATTCACCATCGTTTGCACAATTGGTACATAAACCAAACCTATCTGAGCGATTTCTGCAACGAGTCCATAACTAGCTACTCTGGAAGCAGTCACAAGAGCACGAATAAAACCAATTCCACTCAGTTGTCGGCGCCGATATACAAGTGCGATCAGAAGGACGTAGGGAACTTCAAGGTTAACGCGGTGGAGCAAAGTTTCTGTAACACGAACGATCACAGCAATGGATTGAAAATGCTGCCGACCTACCAGAATGCTAACCCGATCGAACAGAGGACGAATTGTGTTTACAGTGAACACAGTACACCCATCAAGACACCGATTTATCCCAACCAGACGAACATTAATTTGAACGACTACGACGACAAACAGTGCTGCTCGCCTAAGCTGAGCGGGGCAAAAAAAGTTTTGCCTCCTACGACGCAGTCGGTGGGCAAAATAAACACGCTGAACGGTACCAGACCAATGCAGAACGGCGCACAACTAGTCGTCAGGTTACCGGACCCCAGCAAAGTTACAACCGAGACCAGGGTATCGAAGTAACAACCATCACGCGGTGAACTCACGACGAATTTCTATGTTTCTATATGTTTACTGTAATTGCTGTACAAGGTATGTATGGATATGATCCGTTTCTAGGTACAATTTAAATCTTCGAAACTTCGAGTAACGTTCGTCGAACAGATTAGGTGCGACCTTCGATACCGAATCACTGCCATATTTCCGCGTTTCTATTTATTTCTTAACCGAGCTACGCATAATATTTTCTACTGGCAATAACACACTTCGAACGATGTACAAGCATTAACGTTTTATACATATAATACGAGCGACTATACATACGTATAAATATAGATATATACAGTGTAGACTGTAGGCTGTACTATTAACGTTTCCCGTATTTTTTTAACGTTACTTCTCCAATTGTATTTGAAAGTATTAGGTATCGTGTTAATATGTGTTTAAGCATATTCGATAGCACTGGATAAATTACGCGTTAATTTTACGTAAGTACATGAGTGGCTATTAATTCGTATATATTACATCGCCGTAACAATAATATCGCCGGATAGCATTTGACGGAACAAAATTGTAAATCAGATAACGCAACGTTTTTTTTTTTTATCTGATATTTATTTATATTTTTGCACTAACGAAAACCGCGAATTTTTAATCGATGTATCGTTACTCGAATGTAATATACACGTGATATCGGCTGTATTTGTAATATTGTGTGCTTACCAGACTGATAATAAGTAATTTTAGTCTTAAACAATTTGCACAATAAGAGATTACCCTCTATCTAACGATAAATTGTTCCCTGCGAAAAGAACAATTTAAAGCGCGATCTCATTGGAATTCGATAAACAATTCTTCCTTGGCCCGCGATTGTACGCGAACCGCCATGTTCGATTCGTTTACGAAGAGGAAAGCAATTAAAATCATATCGTATACCAAAAACTGAATAGCAATAATTGTGTTCGCACCAGCAAAAGCAATTTCATTCGTAAATTAAGCGTTACAACTTTTACACTATCGTCACATTATCATTTTTATATCTCACACGTGGGGGTTTTCATATCTTATACGACAAACTGATGAGATCACGTACTCTGTTGCTAATTTATGGAAGAATAATCATAAAGCGATTGTGACAATTAATACTACGAACATAACGTTTTAAAAATGCTCTTACGATCGTTAGAAGAGAAAGGGATCTATGGTCGCGGTGAATCACGATTCGACTAGCATAATGAACTAACGATGGACAACCGTGGAGGTTCAACGATGTTCGAGAAGAATGTTGTCGATGATATTGATGTGTAAATTATACAGGATCACTTATCATTCGTGTATAGAGCGTAGAGCATGCGACCAGCGTTATTGCACTCGAATTGTTCAAAGCTAGTACAACATCCGAATGATAGCCGACAAGGTGTGAACAGGAAATAATCGATAACGTTTGGCCTCGAACGATAGCATGAAAATAATAGGATCGCGTGTAAGCTAGGTAACAAGAGCCTAGAGAGTGAGAGAGTTTGAATAAAACTGTATTATACTTTTTATAATTTTCTATTAAAAGAAAATCAGCGAGACGTCTCGTCGACTGCAAGGAATAGCGTCGACGGATGTGTCGTTCCCCCAGAATCGATGTAAACCAAGATTCGCGGAGGCGATTAGAATAATCTATCGATTAAGTTCAAACGAGACTTTTTGAAAATGACGAGCCTCCGACTCGGTGTTTGTATTATTACTTGTATCGCAACGCTCCTGTGGCCGTATCGAAGGCTCGTCATCGGTTAGACTTAAGTTAACTTATGTCAACTATGTCGACGAAGGATCATAAACTTAAGACCTTTATATATACAGTCAAGTATGATATATACGATCCATGTTTTTTGTATGAAATTTTGTTCAGTATTTCTTCCCTGTAATCCTTCATCATAATTCAGCGACTCATCTTAGAGTAGACTTGTATAACAAAAGTTATAGTCCTCTTCGACCAAAGAACCGATAACACAAGAGATAAAGAAGAAATACAAACGTTGGTTCAATATTTCAAAGACTTAACGAGTTTCCTGACACGTCACATTGACATGTTTCACCCATTAGAATCACTTTGGAAAATCTAGGCGCTAAAGTGACTAGTATTTGCTCGACAATCAATAAACCACGATCATTAGCTCGCAATTTTCCCATCTCTATCTTCGCTGTACGATCAAAGTTTAATAATGGCAAGTTGCACATTAATTCCAATGCTGGAACCGTGCGAACACAATTCGTCTGGAATACTACTAAAACGAGTATCGGACGATGTTTCTACTTTTCTCCGTTTTATTGTTTCGTTACGGATTTGTGCAGTGTGCAGTGGACAGAAACATGATTTGGGACAAAAATCGACAGGAATTCGTAGATCTGTACAGTGTTCCGAGATTTGCTGGCTTGCGAGAAAGAGCGTTAGCCAGGGAAGGAGATTTTAACGCGGAACATATCAGCGGGAAAGTTCTGAAGGCGTCTTACTACGAGGTTTAAGTAGAACCCTTTCGAATTGCGCTTAAATTTAAATTATAGTTCCATTCAAATCTCAATCGTACTTCATCGTTACTCTTAGGACGGGGATTTAGTTTCGTTTTATGAGAACGATACGAAGGTGAGTGGAATCTACGGGGAAATATGGAACCTGCTCGCGGATCATCTGAACTTTACGTACGTTCCTCTTTTTTTTTAATAAGAATTTTTATAACTGGAGGAAGGTCATCGCTCACTGAGCTGCTCAATGAGCTGGGTTTTAGTACTAGTGGCGCCATCGGTGGGGAAAAGCTCAAGTTTGTAGTAAGGTTAGTTTTCACTATCGACGCTAGATGGTGATAGCAAGCAGAAGTTAATAGCGCCATCTGGCATTAAAAATGGAAACTATTCCGGGACAAACTTGCACGTTCTCCCACCGATGGCGCCACTAGTACCAAGACTATAGTACTTGAGACTATAATACATTTATGTTCAGAATATAAGTGGTTTTATTTTCAAGTTGTAATGATCACACGTTTGAACAACCAGAAAGTCATTTATTAATTAACAAAATCAATCATAAATTCGAAAAGATAAACGAAACAAAAGATGGTAAAAGCATTGAGCTCTATCCTAACTGGAGTGTGAACTGCGAGAGAGAAGCCAGTCCGAGAGAGATGCAAGATGTGTGGTTCCAGTGATACTATCTTATAGCAAATTTATGTGTGGAGAGAGAACAGACTCCTCTTTGTTTGAATTTCGCAGTACTCTAGGAATTATTTACAGATTAGTTATGTACAGATTTGAACTTTATTTCCTTTCTATTTATATATAAAACGATAGAAACATTAATAATAATGACATAATAATGAAATAGTATACATAATTTACATACCATAACTTAGATCATACAAATATGTACAATTTGGTATAGAGCTAAATTTTATTATTTGTCACAATTCAATGTATATTGTATTTATCCAATTTTATGCGGTAAAGAATCTGAAAGTAACTCATTCGACAATGCTCAGCGATGCTCGGGTAGGTTATGTTACGGCGTACGTTTGTTCCCCCTCTACAAATAAATTTGCTATAGGATAATACCGGAACCACCCATTTTGCATTTCTCTCGGACCTCCGTCGCCTCTACTTCTTCCTACAGGAGTTCACACTCCAGTTAGGATAGAGCTCAATGGTTCAGAATATAAGTGATTTTATTTTAAAGTTTTAATGATCACACGTTTGAACAACTAGAAAGCAATTTATTAATTGAGAAAATCAATCATAAAATTCGAAAAGATAAACGAAACAAAAGATGGTAAAAGAGATCCTCTTCTGAATCGAGAAAGCATTATCAGGTATCGGCCACAAGACTGTGGGGACCTTCGACCATATATACATGGACTGCTCAAGTCTAATCTTTATACACTAAGCACAGTGTAACCAACACCTCCATACCATAAAATAATTTTTTGGAAAAAATATTTAACCGACTTCAAAAAAGGTACAGTGAAAAGTATGAAATAATTTCTAGTTAATTTATATGAATACGCACTAGCTCTAGATATAATTTTTTAAAAGTATAGGAAAATGCAAAGAAAAGCATGAAATAATTTCTAGTTAACGTATATGAATCTGCATTATCGACCGAGCACTCCACATTACCGACAGGACAATCTGCATTGTCGACTGAGCACTTTACATTACCGACCAAGTAATCTTCCTTATCTGCCGAGCACTCCGCATTACCGACAGGGCAATCTACATTACCAAAAGAGTAATCTACATTACCGACAGAGCACTCTACATTATCTGCCGAGCACTCCAAATTACCGACAGAGTAATCTACATTATCGGCCGAGCACTCTACATCACCGACAGAGCACTCTACATTATCTGCCGAGCACTCTACATTACCGACCAAGTCATCGTTATTAGCGGCTTGGCCCTCTACATTGCCGACGGGGTAATCTGCACTAGCGACTGATTACTCTAC